TCAGGAGTGGAATCCAGGACTCGCGTTTCGTCCTATCTGGGACTCGTCAGCTAAGGCTATATCTAGACAATACGCACAGTATGCACATATGCCCATAAGAGACTGATCAATGAGAAGGGGTTTTGTGGAGATTTCAGTAATTTTATAGTTGAATTCATGAATCTATTGATGCTAGACCACCATGGAAAACCTGGAAGCACTGGACGACCGATTCGTCCTATTGTGGGACTCCTCAATAGTGCGCATCCACGATCCCGTCTCGCGAGATTCCAATCCAGGACCTATCAGTCTCGCGCGCGAGCCTAAAGGTTAAGTGCTTGGGTGCGAAACTGATAGGTCCTGGATTGGAATCTCGCGAGACGGGATCGTGGATGCGCACTATCGAGGAGTCCCACAATAGGACGACTTGGCCATCCAGTGCTTCCAGGTTTTCCATGGTGGTCTAGCTTCAATTGATTTATGATTTCAACTATATCTTATTTATTCACAAGATAGTATTTTAATGATATTTATCAATTATTGGTTAATATGAAGATTAAGATTCATATACTTATTCATTAGCATACTTTTTTCCCAGTAGTAGATCATTTTTTCACATCACTAGCTACTACTGTAGTAAATGAAAACTAAAGTGGGGACAATCGAATGTGCTTGAACATATTACAGAAAATCTTGATAAAATTTGAGAAGCATAAAGTTTAATTTTTTATTTGCACAATATTACTCAATTATCTCTAACTTAAGTGTTCCTTCTGCAAAATGTCAATCAATTGTTTCAGACTTCATTGTTCTCGTTCTCTTTTCTTTAATCTTTTCAACCTTTTGTCTTCAAGCATTTCACTTCTGATTGATAATATATACTACTTATATCTATTGACATCAGTAGCACACACCATTGCAAAAACTTAAATTTATCAAAATGAAATATATCATATGATGTAAACTGATTCGATCGAAACTCCATTTGCTTATTGACCATAGAAGAGAGTTTATTCATTATACACTTCACCAATATTCAACCATCTCAATGTTTTTAATTAAGATTTACAAATGTCGAGTAACTAAATGGCATAATGTTCAGTGTATGACCTGATAGGTTCTATGTTTCAATATGTATATAGATGTGGATACAAACTGGAACAAGCTCCAGCCTTAAAAATGTCAATGTTTATGGATTATTTAATTAATGATATTTTGTGTAACAAATTACGTTCTGCTTATACAAATTCATAATTTCCGTAAATTTTGATTTTGAAAGTGGACAACTTAAATTTTTAAATGTATCAATTTTGAGTAAAACTTCACTTCTATTAAAATAGTAATAAATCATTGAAAATTATTAAGTAAATAAATAATTGGTATTCCTGTTTTATTTACATAATTCTTGTAATTAACTTAACCAGAGTAAGGACACCTACCTATTTTGAAAATAATAACACGAAAATCATTCTATTTAGTTTTGATCTCTCAACGGTTACATATAACATTTGTAAATTGAAATTACATAATTGAGTTGAAGATACTTATAGAAGATACTTGCAGTGTAAACACTAATCGGGATTATGTTGTTGTTGTTGTAGATACCGTAAATTTATTTTAAACTGTAAACTTAATAAATTAGAATCACTATTAGCATGAAATCATCAGTACGCTTTTAATTTGATTTTGTACGTTTTAAAAATAAGAATAACAAAACATGATTATTGTGATAACTACAAAAATTACCGAAACGATATAAATCCTTCTTACTGAATTATGTTTTGCTCAGATATACGTCTTAACAAAACTGATATTCTGTCCTGAAATATATTTGACATTAAGGTCAGTGTCTTTTTTAGTTATGAGATTGAAAATCATCTGGAAATATTGTCTATTGACTGGAGATAAGACTGTCATAAATAACTATTACTTACCTACTTACTTACTTATGCCTGTTACCTCTCATGGAGGAGCATAGGCCACTCATCAGCACCAACCATCCAACTCTGTCCTGGACAATCCTTTCTAGTTCTTTCCACTTGCTATTCATCCTTTTCATGTCTGCTTCCCATTCTCGGTGCAGTGTGTTCTTTGCCCTTCCGCTTTTCCGGTTTCCTTCAAGATTCCAAGTCAGCGCTTGCTTCGTGATGCAGTTTGATTATCTCCTCAATGTGTGTCCTATCCACTCCCACAGTCTTTTCCTAATTCCCTCTTCAGCTGGAAGTTGGTTTTTTCTCTCCCATAGTGCGTTATTGTTGTTGGTATCCGGCCAACAGACATTGAGTATCTTGCATACACAATTGTTTATCAATACTTGAACATTTTTTATGATAGTTGTGATAGTTCTCGAAGTTTCAGCTCCGTACAGTAGAACTGTCTTGACGCTCTTATTCAAGATTCTGACTTTGATGATGGTTGAAAATTGTTTTGAATTCCATATGTTCTTCGACTGTATGAATGCTGCCCTTACTTCACCGATCGTTGCCTTTACGTCTGCATCGGATCCTCCTTGTTCATCAATGACCCTGTCCATGTACGTGAAAGTTTCCACCTCTTCCAGAGTTTCTCCATCAAGTGCGATTGGTTGAGTTGGCGCTCTGTGTCGTATTTGAGGATCTTGCTTTTTCCCTCGTGTATGTTGAGGTCCTTATTGTTCTAATAACAGGATAATTTTAAAAGAAATCCTTTGGCATCCTTTTTTGACTGAAGATCACGTCATAGTTTTATCTGAATAGACACAAGTACAACATATCGAATAAGAGGTGATGGTTATACGTACATAAATATTTTCTGCCATCGAACTCTCCAATTTCATTATTACGTATTCATCCAAGTACATAACCACACAATTATGATTTAATTTCAACCGTAGCTGCTACCTTGATGTGGTGGTCGGGTTTGCCTATCGTGGTGACCCAACAGAGCTATATTGGCTGGAACATATGTTCCTGTAGGTTCCACCATGCCAGGCAGGTCGATCGGAGAACGGTAAGACTAAAAGCAACAACTCAAAGTCTGAGGGCGAAGTCGTACTACTGACTGTAAAGAGGTGGGACAGTAGTAAGGCGTTTCCCTCGGACAACCAACATCTGCAACGATGCTGCCTTTTTACAAGGAAGGAACGGGTATGAAAAGGTTGACCCCCAAAATGTCACACATCACCTTACCTCATGGATTTCCGTCTCCAGCGGTAAGGACCTTTGAAGAACGGGGTTAACACGTCAGAAACCTCCCACAAAAAGACCGTGCACGACCGGCCACAAGCAGTTGTCCCTTGGGCTCTACGGTCACGCTCCCAGGTCGTTAAGACCAACATTAATCCAACTTCTTTTTCAGGTCCCTCAAGAAATACCCCTCCACGATGTGGATAGACGGGAAGTGATATCAGCCCTAATATTCGTAACAACACACGAGATCAAGTGTGTCACAATTAAATCCTTCCTACACCTAATAACTCTATTATCTCCATGAATAACCCTCTTCACGTCCCTTTATCACTTCGCACCACTAGGGCAAACGATTCCAGGACGCGGAACGTTATTCCTGGTCTCCTGAAACCACGCTCTAAACTACATGTATGAGCTTTTAATGTCCAAACACTGTACCAAGTAGGACAACAGGCTTCCTTAGCTAGGACTTTAGAATCTCGCACCATCGATGTGTGCTGCGTCCCCGATACGCGCAAACAGGATCCGAGTAGCGTCATTCATTTAACCTCACCATATTGAAATAAAGAATCAACTCGATTCACGCTTCGTGTATCTGAAAGCCCTGGTGCTGCTCTCTGTGGCCTCGCAGGGGTAAGGAATAGCATTGAGTCCTAGGGCAGAACTAGCTCTCCTAAACTGGATCCCAGTAGACAGTCGTCTATGTGCTGTTCGACTAAACGGATCAGTAAGGACTCGGAAAGATAAGGACACTCGTCGTTGCCTCTTCGTCGTCTCTGCCTACTCTCCCACTGGCTGCAGCTCAGGTGATGTAAAAGATGCGTTTTATAGAAAGCTTTCTGACCTTCTCCGAAAAGCTAGACGCTCTGATGTAGTAACAGTGGCTGGTGACTTTAATGCTCAAGTAGGTAAACTAAGCGAAAGGGAAAGATACGTGGGTGGGTCTTATGATATCGTGACTCAAAGAACAGGTAATGGCGACCGTCTGTCGCAGCTATGCTCAGATAACCGCCTGTTTCTTGCAAGTACTAACTTTAAACATAAGGAGGAACATCTTTTGACATGGCGACCCCCGAAGTCGTCCCAACGTTTGACCCAAATAGATCACATCGCTATCAGCCACCGATGGAGGGGCTCGATAGAAGACTAACGCTCATTCTGGAGCACATGTTTAGATTCAGATCATGCTCTAGTGCGAGCACATATCTGTCTGCCTCTTACTAAACGTAGGAAAGACGCTGCAAGGAAGCCTGTTAGGGTTCTACTTTATTTTATTTAAACACAACATATCCACACCGCCATTACTTACATTCATCAGAGCTGTTTCCAGGATGTCATCGATGGCAAAGTTGAAGAGGAATGGTGAGATCGGGCAAACTTGTCTAACCCCACTGCTTGAATGGAACAGTGGAGAAAGGTGGTTGTATGCCCTCACTCTGCCTGAAGTGTTCGTGTACAGGGCCTTTAAGATGTTAATAAACTTTAACTTTAATAAACTACTACGACTTCCACAAATAAATAAGGAACAGTTGTCATGTGCACCCTGGTTTCCCGAAATTTACTCACTTCCGACTATCCGTTGGGAGCCCACAAATGCCCTGGTACGGCAGAGTGGGAAAATTCCGCTCTCCCTCTCGAAATGCTCTCACATGGCCAACGAATATATAGCCTCTGCCAGAAAAGTTCTACTCACTGCCTTCTCGTGGCATTACTGTTGTTTACGAAATTAAGAGGACGAAAAGCGAATGTCCGGCGCTTTAACCGGGTTGGTGGATGTGGAGGATTCACCTAGGGGAGTTGGAAAACCCTAATTCCAAACCAATGGTGCACATGGGCTCCAGTATCCTGAAGGAACAAATGGCGTAGGAATCAATCGTTGATCACCGGCTACAATGGGACTGCATCTCTTTACGATGCTCCACTGCCTTGTGGATCAGATCTTTAGGTCAAAGGCTCCGAGTGTGGCCCCCTAAGAAAACCACCTGCTTCAGTTTGGTCACCTGTGCAGTATCACAGCTCTCAAGCAAATCGAATGAGATTTGTATGGCGCATATGCACCTGGTGCTTCCTCGTACCAATATTTATGTTTTTAAATAATAATCCGTTGGGAGAACTATATTCAAACGGGACTGATTCCCACAAACAGGTTTCACTTTTAAATTATGGTAACCACAAGGGAAGACATACGCTCTGATAAATATTCGACAAACTACTTACAACCTAGAGCTCGAAATCAGCAATATACATGTCGATATTATCTGTTGATAAATTCAGTACCTTGAAACTAATGCTACAGAAGCAGTCGCAGTTACCACCTTTACATACTGATCTAAAGAAATGGCATGTTACATACTGAGTAGAGTTATCAGGGTATTTGGAGTTATATTCCATCCAGTGCTTCATAATGTTTCGCGATAACGAAGCCGAGAATGAATACAAGCTGGATCTTACTGGGACACCTAATGTACACGCATGTGGTAAGGTTGTGTCAGGGCAAGAGAACCGCTACACGCTGAAGAGTAGTGGCTGCAAAATACCGTTTGACAGTGAACGTGCTTAAAATAATTATAAAATACTTCCCACACTTACAAGCAGATATTCTGTTTACGTTGAAGAACTGTTGAATTGAAACAAGGTTGCTGTGATGATCTTAAGGCCTGACAATGGATAATCCAATCATAGAAAAAGAACGGCGAACTAACTACAGTACCGATACCGGCTGTTAATGACTTCGAATACATAATCACGCTCTTTTAGCCTTAGAGTATGGTATAACTACGAACACGAATAAGTCTGGAAACTCAAAACTAGTTGAAACGTGACATAGTCGCAGAAGAATGAAAACATGCAACGTCTTAAAACTATCTGTCCATAAAACAAGATAACAGCATCATGTAGTTCGTGAAACGCAAGGATGTTCTAACGGCAGAATACTATCATGAAAGGAGAAGGGCTTCCAATGACACATCTCTTAGGCCATTACCTACAGCGCCAAGTCGCAGGAAAGGAATCAGATCCAATAGTATTATAGTCAACAGCACGAACGTCAGGACGAATTCAGGAGTGAAAACCTTGTTCCAGTAACTTTGCCCACTGGATGATATTGTCACCACGATGCCTAATAGTGCGACTATAAGGTAAGCTTTCCATATAACAAACCTCGCAAAATGGCAGACAACTACACCGACTTTAGTTCAACTAAAACGGATGCTTTAGAGGATTACAAGGCTGTCTGAGCCATGGACATTCAAATACAGATAATGTACCGCATACCACAACAGGCACGGTGTCTCCACTGCATATAAAATTAAGGTGACTACCTAGACAGGTACGGACGGATTCAACTAGAACAGACATCATACATGAGACTATCGATATTTATACGATACGTTGTGCCCTTCGCAGTGCAAAAAGTTGCCATGCAGTCGCAGTTTATGAACATAGATCTAATAAAATTGACCGAAAAGCGTTGAAGATCATAAACGCAATAACGTATTTCATGCTAAAGCCCGAAAGCAGAATTACGCTCAACAATTACCTGCAAACAGGAAGGACAAGGGAAACGCCCTCAGAGTAACAATACATCAAATGACACAAAATCAGTAAGCAAAAGGAAATCTCCTGACTAACATTTATTGCCAAATAACATTAGAAAATCATCTTGTGTGGATAGTCCCTTTTGCCTAATGAAAATAGTGAACGCAAGTAAGCGTGCAAAATCTTCGAGTCAGGGTGACTTTTTATCGATGCACGAATTTGCTTGTCCACAACTTTTTGGTCTTCTTTTCGTGTGTCACTGACGGTGTATTTCTGAAAGAGAAGAAAACTTTGAGTAAGCCGTACATCCAGAATATGCCAATTTGTCAACCCTTAAGCTTTTTTATATGGTAGGACAACATGAATGTCAGCAAAGTGAATTTGTGAATAACCCACCTTTGTCTCTGTACTAAACAGTTTTTCGGCTTCTGTTTTGTGCTCCTTAAGATCAGCACGCCGGAAGTATTCATCATCGATGTGCTTGGGTATCCCAACCTCCGAAATATTTATCCGCGTTGATGTTGCAATTACATAACATTGGTTTACTCTCCGAAGTGGTACACCATTGTATTTAAAAGGCCCTGTGCAACAATTACAAAAATATCTCAACCTACCTGTGACAAGCAATAACCCACTCTTTAAAGCCTTTAGAAAGACAACACGTTTGCCTTTGTGTGGTCCGGCAAGCAGAATGAGTACAGTTCCTGGCTGTATACTAGAACGAATCTTCCGAACATGCTGAGAGAAGCACTTTGTTTTTCGTAGACGTAGTTTGCGCTTCCCCTGTTGAGTTACATAACTACGCGGCTTAAAAAAAAGAATGTCAAAATAAATTATCATACAAATCGTGATTCGTGCTTCTCCGGTACTTCCTTAGATTTAGGGGTCCTTACACCAGGCAATGGGTCTTTACCCTCCTTCTTACGCTGTTTATTTACTTTGGCTATAAACTTCTGGTGGTGATACTGCCGTTTGGCTGACACCCGTTTTGGCCGAACCACACACTTCACCTGCGTCATGATAAGCACGGGCAACAAATCCGAAGAGAGCGGGTCGGAACTCAGCAGTAAATTTAAACATTTGTAACAAACATTTATATACTGCCAGAAATACTTATGAAAAACACAGTTACTCACTTTTCTGGCATTGTTAGTTTTGAAGTCACAAGCCTGAAGAAGGCTTATCACTTAAATGATCCAATTCCAAAATAAAGGCAGCTGATGCAAACCGGTAAGTTGGTGTAATGCTGTTGAGTTTAGCGTGTAGTTGAAAGTTGATCCAGTTTGAAACTAACTGTGTGCATGCACTCTAAGCCTGTTAGTGTCCACTGTCTCCGTGTCACTAGGCTGCCGTTGAGTCTGTTTTCGCTGATGAATTCACTGAATTCGCTGTTACTACCTTCAGTGGTTCACTTTCAGTTGTATGTAGTGATTTCAATTCATGTGACTGTAGCTTCCTTACATCACAAAGTCACCGAAATGTAGTAGATTTTTGTACTCGTTTAGATGCTCGTTTAGACTTCGTTTTCCATTAATAATGTGGGTACATATGTGACTGGTAAACGTTCTCCATTATCTAACTCGGACCACTGTATAATTTGTGTTCTACCAAAACTATATGGAAAACATCGAAATAATACACCCTTACACAAGACCGAAAAGTTCATATATAGGAATTACTCAGAAATAAATATACGAAATCTGAAAAACATGTTTAGTACGAATAACTGGGAATTATTTAAAGTTGACTGACTGGAAAACACAACTGATGTTATAACCTGGTAACTTAAATTTTTTTAATTTTTGTTGTCTTATTGAAACCATTTTTTTAGTTTTGATCGACTTACATCTTCCCAACTAAAACGACCACGAAAGGTAAAGGAAAGAATGTACACGGAGGAAAAACACTATGAAAGCTCGTAAGCTAAAAGGTCTAATAAGCCGAGAGATTAGACGTCTCAACTCTATGTTTACTCAGAAACTCCTGTGGCTGTAAATAATTCCCCAAAATCGATAGCTCATTAAGTGTTCGACATTAGATGCTGACCACGTTGTTTAAATGGACTTGTTTAATTGAAGGCTTTCGGCCATGCATCCGTGCCAGATCACGTTTCGACTCGTCGTGGGACACAACTCTTACATACACTAGCTAGCTAAGAACAAACGCTTCTCGATATATTGATAACGTGTCAGATATATCTTTCCTACCTCTTCTCGTCTGACTTCTGATTTCCATTGGGCGTGAAAAGCTACGCATATAGAAGGTGCTACTGGTCGCTAATTGTCAAACTACAATACTAGTCGTATCTTCAGTGGTGAGGCCGATGTGATCTGATACACCGAGCCAATATACTCTGGGTCTGTTCCTTTATGGAATATTATTATTCATTGTTATTCTTTATTTGATTTTTATATAATGTGATATACTTTTTTTCTTGAGTTTTTCCGGATATATTTTAATTAAATATTTTATGTTCTTAATATTACTATGACGGAACAGTCACCTAAAGTATTTAAGTTAAGGACTACTCCGCCGTCATCGATTCAATTAACTCCCTTTTGGCCTGATAATATCGAGTCCTGGTTCTGCTACGCAGGAGCCGACTTTAACGGCCACGGCATTACAGACTCACGCTCACGATTCCTCGCTGTAGTTAAGACGTTACCACGCGAATTCAACAGGTACGTAACACCTAGTATGTTTACTATTGATTTTTCGGAACCTAACGAAACGTTAAAACAATCGATTCTGAGACGTGGAGATCTAACCGACCGACAACGGTTAGACCAACTCCTCAATAATATCGACCTGCAACATGGTTCCGCGACGGACATGTTGTTAAGGACGATAGAGGTAATAGGTCAAAGAACTTTCGACGAAGGCCTATTCAAACAACTTTTCTTATCCATACTCCCAAAACAGGTGCAAGCAGTCCTCGTCTCGTTCCAAAACAACGCCGTAGACGAACTAGCCACATCTGCCGATCGAATATTAGAAATAACGAAGTCTACTAGCGCTGAGGTCTTTTCAGTCAAAGAAAAGCCTCAAACGACCCCGAATGACATCTCGGAATTATGTCATACTCTCACACGCTACTTTCGATTTCGTAATGACCGTAGTCGGTCAAAAACCCCGCGTAGAAGCGCCTCACGTAAGCGATCTGGCTCTCGACCACGAGAGACAGACAACCCCGACTGGTGCTGGTTTCACAATCAGTACGGTAAATCTTCTAGAAATTGCAGGAAGCCCTGCAATTACCCGATCTCTAAGGCGACTGACACGAATAAGATATCGGGAAACTTCCAAGCCGGCACGCGTTAACGGCAACCGTAGCCGACGAACACAGCCGCCTCTTATAAGTCACGGACGTGACCACGGAAGTTAGCTACCTCGTCGACACCGGCGCAGAAGTTAGCGTTCTTCCAACAAATCCCAATGACAGACTTCGCGAGTCTGTTTTGAGTTTACAGGCGGCAAACGGAAAGCCGATCGCTACTTACGGTAAAAGGTACGTCTACCTTAACGTGGGTTTACGCAAATCCATACACTGGATTTTCGTGGTTGCATGTCTCTATGCCAATCGTTGGTATAGACCTGTTACAATACCACAATCTACTAATCGACACACACTCACTAAAGTTAATAGACGGAAACACTAATTTATCCGTTAGCGTAACTTCTTTTTCTGGTTTCAGATTATCCCCAGTCATAATTAAGCACACCATAGACCCCCTATATCAATCATTACTCGACAAATACTCCAGGATATACCAATTGCAACCGAAATTGCCTTGTGTAACCAGCAATGTTACACATCACATCTCGACTACAGGACCACCTGTATTATCGAATGCCCGCCGACTGGCTCCCGAAAAGCTTAGGTTGGCTAAAAATGAATTCGACCATATGATAGATTTAGGGATAATTCGACCATCAAATAGTCCATGGTCATCTCCATTGCACATGGTCCCTAAAAAGGACAACAATGATTGGCGCCCAACTGGTGATTACCAGCGTCTGAATGCTAATACCATTCCCGATCGTTACCCGTTGCCTCACATTCACGATTTGACGGCTACCTTGATAGGTACAACTGTCTTTTCGAAAATCGACTTCGTTAAGGCTTACAACCAAATAGCTATGGCAACCGACGACATTCCTAAAACCGCCATTATAACTCCTTTCGGCCTCTACGAATTTCTACGAATGCCTTTCGGCCTAAGAAATGCGGCTCAAACCTTCCAAAGGTTTATAGACGACGTCTTCCGAGGTCTCAATTTCGTACATGCGTATGTTGATGACTGCCTCATAGCAAGTCCGGACAGAGAATCACATCTCCAGCATCTGGACATTGTTTTCGATCGACTCCAAAGACATGGCATTACTGTAAACATTCAGAAATGACAAATCGTAACCAACTCCTTAGACTTCTTAGGACACACTATTGATGCTCAAGGCATCCGACCTCTTAGGAGCAAAGTGGCGGCCATTCTGGATTACCCAGAACTGACCACGATCAAGCAGTTGCGAACGTTTAACGGCCTCGTAAGTTTCTACAGACGGTTCATACCTAAATGCGCATCTCTTATGAAACCGTTAACCGATCAGCTTCGTGGAAATGCGAAATCAATTAGTTTAGACGACACAGCCCGAAAAGCCTTCTCCACAGTTAAGGAACACATCGCTCAGGCAACCCTGCTTGCTCATCAGGACACTCAAGCGCCCATTAGTATCGCAGTAGACGCATCCGACTCAGCAATCGGAGCAGTCTTACAACAATGGGTTAACAACTCGTGGCAACCTTTAGGATTTTTCTCGAGACGGTTGCTACACGCGGAATCTAGGTACGGCACGTTCGGTAGGGAACTCCTAGCTATGTATTGTGCTGTACGGCATTTCCAACATTCCATCGAAGGAAGAGAATTCACGCTTTTTACCGATCACAAACCTCTTACCTCCTCTTTAAATTCATCTTCAGACAAGTACTCACCGCGAGAGTCTCGACAACTCCACTACATTTCGCAGTTTACTTCAGACATACAACACATTTCTGGAGCTAACAATGTAGTCGCAGACGCTTTCTCTCGAATAAGTTCCTTGAACAGTTTCCAAGGAATCGACCTTCTTAAACTCGCTCAGCTTCAAAAAGAAGACATTGATCTTCAGCATGAGTTATCCTCGACAACTCTAAAACTAAGTATTAGGCAGATGGGAACAGGTAAGGAAACCTTACTCTGTGACACATCTACAGGTAGGGATCGTCCAATTGTACCAAAACGTTATCGCCGCAACGTCTTCAATATGTTGCACAATCTTTCTCATCCAAGTGTTCATGCATCAATCAAGCTCATAGCCGAACGGTTGTGCTGGCCTGGTATGAATAAAGACATGAGGGAGTGGGCACGCTCCTGTGTAAGCTGCCAGAAATCTAAAGTAATCAGACACAACAAATGTCTCCTAGGCTCTTTCAAAACCCCTGACGTTCGTTTCGACCTCGTTCATCTAGATTTGGTAGGGCCCGCTTTACTCGATGGCCAGAAGCAGTACCTATTAAGGACATTACTGCTGAAACAGTGGCTCGCGCTTTCGTCAAACGATGGGTAGCAAACTTCGGCTGCACTTCAACCATCACTACAGACCGTGAACGCCAGTTCAAATCTGGACTTTTCCGTTGTCTGACCTCACTATTAGGAATCACTCGCTTCCAAACGATCGCCTACCACCCACAAGCAAACGGGTTGGTAGAACGTTTCCATCGACAACTTAAAGCTTCACTATCAGCTACAAACGTTTCACAGTGGACAGACGATCTTCCACTCGTCTTGCTAGGTATCCGCAATGCAGTGAAAGCTGACATTGGATGCACTGCAACTCAACTCGTTTATGGAACGACACTCCGACTCCCAGGAGAATTCGTGGATCCTTCGTCTTCTTCATTGAACATGGATCTAAACTCTTACACGAATAGGCTTTCAAACGCAATGCGTTCAGTTAAACCTGTTCACACTCGACCTCAATCAACTGATGTTTTCGTTCAACCCGAATTACGACATAGTACACACGTCTTCGTTCGT